CTTTAACTAAATCCAGTCGCAAGAAATATATATAGAGCTGATACTACAATCCGTAATGTTTTTGTTTTTAGCGAATCAATATTTGTGATGTAACAGAACGTACCGCTCCATTACGTCCCGTGAGTGTCTTAAGAGGCGGCTTTGCGAGTTTTATGGTAAAAATGTCAGATATATATCTCAGGGTTTCTGATGTGAAGCAATATAAATGTATTGTTAACGGCAGACGTAAAGTACCCAGACTGTTTATGAGGAGTAGGATTAAACAGACAGACATAGAGCAGACGCGAGATATTTAGTAACAGCATTACAGCAACTACGTTTATTCGTAGAATTTTACGTGCTGATGAGGAAAGAAACGAAAGTAACAGAATAATATTAAATTACAAAGTTCTGTTAGTTCGTCAGTTGCACTACACACTTAAAACAAATTTTATAGTACAGTTTTGATTTTTTTTTTTTAACTAATGTTACCCGCATATTAAAATATTCTCCTGTATTGTGAAGGAATTTTACATTCACTATACAAACATCCAGGCGCTTAACAATTATTATACATGTATGGATTACAGTCTATACAAAAAGTTGCCCCGTAAGGGATTCCAAGCTGCGACTCTGCAGCATTGCAGCTTAATGCTTAGCCGCTGCGGGTAGCGAGGGTTCAAATCATCCAAACGTTAGATTCCTGATTCCAACACCTTTAATTTACTTACAATTTTTAATACTAATTCATCGAAAGATATGTAGTATAATTTAAAATTAAAAATTTTGTAACAACCGACTTCAATATAAATTATTAAGAATAACTCAAAAACTACTGGTCAGACCTTGATCAAATTATATGGTATCACATGTGAAGTACCAGCTTTCAAATAAAAAAGAATCATCAAAATCGGTTCACCCAGTAAGTTATGAGGTAACACACATAAAAAAAACATACGTTCGAATTGACTACCGCCTCCTTTTTGAAGTCGGTAGAAAAGAACTAGAAGTATCCTTTTCCTTACGCCTAGACATTTTTAAGTCATTATTCTTTTTATTGGGCTATATTTTTAATAGCATGTTTGGCAGGCGGATCAATGATCGACACTGCTGCCCGTTGCCTGTCTGGATGTTTTACGACTTTCAGTTACACCGCTATCTATAGATTTTTTGACATTTCTTGTAGTTGCCTCTTACAACATCCACGTGACTCTCTAACGCCGTCAGCAAACAACTACATAAGCTTTTAGTTCAATTACTAAGTTTTGAAACAAAAGTAATCACTGGTAGTTACAGCTCTTATTATATCCAAAAATCAACTAATGGTAACCTTTTAACCAGTGGTTCTGAACTTTTGGCTGGCGAGCCTAAATACGTAAGTACTTGAATCTCTCGACACTATACTTAATGATAAATTACCAGTCTAGGGGTGACAACGCATCTGCATTTAGATTTTTAATCTAAAATAAATGTGGATGTCTGTGCGTCACAGCATCCACTCACTATCAGGTGGACTATGTGCTCGTTTGCCACTCTTATTGCATAAAATAAATACTTCACCAACCTTATACTTCTGTCAAGTTTCTACTAGTAATGAGAGAGAACAATCAGAATGAACAACGCTCGCAACGCAGTCAGTAGTACTAAAAGAACTATTGGTAAATCCAATTGTGCATGCCCTAAGCGCAATAAAAAATTACGTATTACATGATTATACGTAATTTTTTTCAAATAGTTTTACTCACAAGTTTCACTAATAAGCTTATTGTTGTACTTCCAATTTTCCAATAATTTTATGTCAAACTTCAATTTTAAAAAAAGTTTGAAAAGTCCAAAAGTGCACGGCTCATAATGCTCATATGATCATCCTATTTACTTTTAGTACGAGGAACTATTATTTATTATGCGCTTTTAAAATATTGAAATAATAATATCTGATTATTATAATAATCAAGTATGTATGAAATTTGGTTTTTCGAGTATTTTGTATTTGTGCAGCGATCTCTTTGAGCCGCTGCAAACAACCAATACAGTATCAACTCACAACTGCGGTTGACGCCAAAGTGAGTGAGTGAGGCAGACTATTTCGTAAAATAAATTATTACAAGGCTGCTAAAACACTGAAAACTGCCGGATTTCTACGCCGAAAAAAATAGTTATAACTAAACAAAAGAAAATTAAACTGCCATTTTTATTACATGGCTTCCCACAAGATAGACAAATAGATTAAAAAAATAGACTGAGTTAAACAATTAATATTTTCAAAAGTTATCGTGTTTACCAATTCATGTGGACTTGATAAATCTATGCCATAAGCCACTAAAACCACTTTCTTATGTAAAAATAGCAATTAATCGATTTAAAAAAAAATATTAATAAGTTCAGCAATCATTTATTTTTCTGACAATGTGCTTTTTATATCATTTATATGTTCAATATGATTGTTAGATACGATTTTATGCGACAAAACGTTGAAATCTTGATTTTTAGGCGCTAGTGGAACATACTTACGCGCTTTGCGCTTAAGGCATGTAATGTCGCTTTATTTTCTCTGCTACTGTAGGTGAACCCCGCGCTTGTGTGCGTGCGTTGCGAGAGGCTTGTATAAAGCTTCCGTTCTCGTTAATTCTGGTACAGGTGAAGTGACCATCATTACTTCTGACTTTATTGCAAGTAGAGTTGAATTTTATAAGTGCGTAAGGAAAATGTAAACAGATTTATTTACTAGTTAATGCTTATTTAATTGAGCCGCTAGCTGGGATCGTGCTCGCCATTGAATTTCATAATACACGAGCAAACCATGTTTGATCTTGCCGGTACCAATTAAATTGTTTATTGCAATTTTAATGAGTATGGTACTGGAGTGGCAACGGGCCGAACAAGACGACCCGACATTTCACGAAAGAGACTTGACGAACCAACAACCGATGGGAAATTAAGATTCTAGAGTGACAGCCTTATACGAGCAAGCGGAGTGTAGTACGGCTCCCCATCAGATGGAGTGACGACCTGGTAAAACATGCTAACGACCGAGCTGTGTAGTATTAGACATATGTTCAGCATTGACATTGATGGCCTAATCTGTTTTGTTACTTATTTTTTAATTAATTAAAACCGTTCCATTTCAATATCTGTCGTGATTTGGATTTGCACCTTACAACGAGGTTAAGAACCGTTACTTTAAATAATGCCTAGCGAAATATTTAAAGATAAAATAACATATTATCTGATTTATTACAAAATAAGAAATGCACATCTATAATAAGTTAATAATCAGATTATTTTTTTCTACTAAGGGATTGTAAGAAGAAATGTCAAAAATTGCCTTTTGCTATAAGGTACATTACCGTAAACGACAAAGCGTCAAATTTCGCTAAAGATGCGTCGTGGATTAAATCGAGCCCTCTTCTAAAACTCCATTACAAATGGATATAGCCCTTATTAAGATAACTAACTTAGCGCCCTGTCACGTTGCCAACCTCCGAATGATTTACCCGACCGCCTTATCTTCACCAGCCGCGTCCAACCGGTGACTAACTGACCACTATTGTTAGTCAACCCTTTATCTTACTGTTATTTATTATTATACGACGCCCCATGAAATGATTTGTCGCACGTTACGGTTGTTTTCCATCGGTAAAAGCTCTACAAACAGTTCGCTAATATGCATAATTGTGTACGTAGGTAGTGTATGTTTACTTGCTGCCAGTATTGTCTATTGTTTTCATTAAAAAGCATACTATGTTGGAGTTTTGGCGGGAACTTTACCGGCGGCGGTTTGCTGCTCCTGTATTATTGTTTAAATAATGGTTTAAAGTGGACTTTGATATGTAAAAGTGGTGTGATTTTGTGTATTAAGTGTCTACGCATGTGAAGTATTACTGGAAACTGTGAAACAAGTGCTCTGATGGTGATGTGATTCTCAAGATAAGGTGTCTGCTTAGGCGCCTTGAGATACCATTGCCAACTGTCAGCTGTCTGCTGGCTCAAGTTGCCGTCAAAATCTCCCGAGGGCTGCACAATGTGACGCATCATCATATTGTGAAGCAGTGTACTATGAAGGATAATTATAAATTGTAAACTTCAGGCTCAGAAGGGCTAGAACTCAGAGCCGTAAAGCCAGTTATAAAAAAAGCATACTATGTTGGTCTGGAACTGTCCAATATTTGTCGGGGACGTATACGTCCGAGTTTACGTGGGACATATAACAAGAAGGAATTTGCCAAATGTTTTTCTTTTCAAATTTTCCGTTTATACCCACTGGATTGTAATTTACCATTTATACCTATATGTTTTGGCTAAGCGTAGTCCAAGCAACTTGCTACCCTTTGTACTCTGTCTATCCCCTCGGAGACTAAAAGCATGACATTATCTAAAGATATTTTTTATAAATAATCTCGTCCATTCATGTCCTTTTTTACACCTACCTTTAAACTATTACCGATTTTCAGTGGATCTCACGTATCACAGAGTATTGAAACTCGGAATGGACCATTTTAATGATCGACCCGAATCAATTAATGATAAAAAATCATAAATTGAATGATCGTGTCACTAAGATTCAACGATTATCTACTATCAACACTCCTTTGAGGATTGACCAGGAAATAGTTTCGTCCTTTTCGTCCTTTTCTTTATTTACTGTAAATAAACCATTTTTAATTATATCGAATTTACATAAGTTTCAAATTTTACGAGTATATGTATCAATTAAGTCAACTATTTTATTAAAATCAATTTAAGTGCTAGATCACTATCACTAGAGTACATCACAAGTCAACTGCTGAACATAGGCCTTTAGGATGATGGTGACAAAGTACGGTCCTGAGCCACCCTACCTACGTGTTTCACGAGGTCGTCACTCCATTAGTTTGGAGGTCGCCCAGCACTGTGATTGTCAGTACGAGGCTGCCACTCGAGAACCTGCCTTTGAACTTACATAGATGATATATTTTTTACGAGTATAATATTTATTTGCATTTTTTAATATAGACATTAATAAATGTGTTTTTATGTTTCAGGCCAAAATGAGTACGGGGGACGGTACAGTAGGTGGCCATCAGAAGGCAGACGACCGTCTCGGGCACCATCAGTCCATGAGTCAGATGCTATACGGCGCCGGATTGGGGCCAGGACGGTCAGGTCAGTATGCTTCAATGTCAAAGTCATGCTCAATGTAATTAGATCATAATATTTTCAACATAAGCAATGTCAGACTCGGATCTCTGAACCTAAGCCCAGTTCATTGTGTAACTGGGAAACGAGCAGCGAGCTACGAGGAAACTAGGTGTCCTTCCAAGGTAGCGGCGGTACTTTCTCGCAAAGGCAGCTTCTTACCTTTATGTAAAGCGCAAGTCCGGTCTTGTTTGGAGTTCTGCTATCTTATAATATGAGCTTGTGCTGCGAAATGCCACCTAGCAATGTTGGACTCAAAAAAAGACGTGCTAAGAGGCTTATTGGCGACCTTAATTATAATAATAATAATAATTTATTTCAAGAAACTGTACAATTAATTCAAATAATGTCTTAATTTAAAATAGTCTACAATAACAGGGACCTGAACTAGGATAAACCTGTATCTCAGGTGTATGTGCTAATAGATACATTTACAAATATTTTCTGTTTCTTATATAAAATGAATAACTTACCAACTAATTACGGTTAATTCGGTAAAATATATTATCATTACTTTACTTAAGATTTTAATTAGCTTGAAACAATCAGCAATTTTTCCGTATCATCGTATGAAAAACTTATGACCAACTTATAACCATGAGATTACAAATTTTGTCATACGATGTAACCACTTGTATTGTTTGATTTGTAACCATTAGATTGACACTAATCTTATCAGCCTTGAGCACAGGCGCAGAGTAGCCAGCCTCTCAGTCTTCTACAGGATGCATTTCGGATAATGCGCGCAGAAATTACACGCCTTAATTCCTCCCTCCTGTTTCCACCATCGGACAACTTAGGCAGTTGGCAGGCCTTCACCCCCATTGTCCATATTACATGTATTCGAACCTAATACTCTGCATCGTTTTTTATAATTGGTAGAGCAAAGCAGTGGAATATGTAGACGGCGTTTCTAATTAGACTAAGAACTAAAAAGTGCTGGATTCACAAGTCCACAGGTGAACATAGGACTCCCTTTAATAATGCCACAAAGCATGGAACTGAGCCACCTGCATTCATCGACTTTCTTCATCTCTTAACAGATCATCACTCCATCTAGTGGGACCAAAAAGTTTTTATATACATAAATTACTTAAACATCTCGATCCATGACCCAGACTTATTATTTGTAAGCCATTTATGTAATTGTGTCTTATATTCGTATATAATATTATATAATATTATTTTTTAAGTAAAACGTCAGGATTGTTATTGCCAAGATCTTAAAATTTCTCAGTTCGAATCCGCAATTTATTGTAGTTTACTGTCGTGAACCACGACTTAAACAAGCTTATAACTAATTTGGAATGCTTGATAGATTAGTTATGTTAATTGTGTTGTTAGATTTTTGTTTCGTAAAATTATTAATAAGATGAGTAAAAATTTAATAAAAGACGTCATATTAGTAATGGTCTGAGAGCTCGATCATTAGTAGCACAAAACATTTCCAACTCGCCCCTCCCTTCCAGGGTCATCGTCGTCGTCTCCAGTCGGAGGCACGAACGCAGGCAGTGGGCTGTTGGTTGTTCCACAGCCCCTTGGAAAAGGACCGACTAAGTTGCAGCCTTTGCACGCCCACGCGAGAAAATACCACTGCAAGATGTGTCCTCAGGTAAGCCTAAACAACTTTTTTTAAATAATCTAAAATAAGTTAACACCTTGTGTCTCACTGTCATTATTAAGGCTCTACCAGATAGCTGCGATATAACGGTTGGTAATATCACATGTGTTATTGAAATAATGGATCCCGCGTCCTTGTCACAAAGCTGCGGTTTTCTCGTCCGATATTTCCAACATGTGAATGTACCTTTATAGAACTATATGTACCATCTGCACTACAATGTTAATGTAAAATGTGGTAGACCCATGCTGCAGCTATATCATGGTTGTAGCACAAAAGGGGCGGCTCGTCCGGGGAAGGTCCACACTACGTATTCTATGAGATACAAGCGTAAAATAGCAGCTCAATTCAATTGTTTCGTATGGTGAGTGTAGAGAACCGGAGACCCTTTATACTGGAAACGAGGCATTTCATCTTGACTCTTAATCGAGGGAAAACATCGCGGTCGATGTCTATGGGCCAAAGCATCCACTTACCATCAGGTGGACTGTGTGCTTGGTTGTCACCCTACTCTTGTCATTAACGTAAGTGTGTGTAAGCTCACATTTTTTTTATAGTATAGGGTGACAAACGAGCACACAGTCCAGCTGATGGTAAGTGGTTGCTGTGGCCCATAGACATCTACATTTATCCTCGTTTGCGAATCAAAATGCAGATGCGTTGCCACCCGTGAGGACTAAGATGGAACGCCTCGTATCCAGTAAAATGGGTCTCCGGTTCTCTACACTCACCATACGAAACACAGCATTGTTAAGCTGCTATTTGACGCTGGTATTCTGTGAGAGCGTGGTCCTTCCCCGGTCGAGCCGACCCATTCGTGCTATAACTATACTACTAATATAGCTGCAGCGTGGCTCTACCACGTACAAAATGTACATGCTTAAATGTACTAAATACCGCATGACACAAAAATGCGCTTGCGTTCTACTTCTTCGTCCCTACTTCTATTGCGTCGTTATTAACGCAGCAGTGTGTAAAATCTCGTGTATCCTGAACAAAATGTACTAAGGACAAATATCGTAATAATTTTTATTGCTTTGCATTTTTGAACTTAATTCCCATCATAAAAAGTTTTATTTATCATTCAAAAATCGAGTTTACTTACAAGTTATTAAAGTTCACATTTGAATTAATTGCAATAATTTGAAATTCTTCCTGTTCCGCGTTTACGCTATACGACATTATCGATCGTTATAATCCAGTTATCTGATAGAACATTAATTTTCACATTCCTTATATTTTAAGATTAAGGTGGGTATGAGCATGTTTTTAAAATCCAGGTATTCACGTAAAATTTAAATTAAATTCAGCCTTAATTATAATTGTTGATTGTTACTTATTTAAGTTTTAATCATCTCTATATCTGTCTCTTACTGTTGTCATTTATTGAAAAGAGAAATACCACCAATAGTAATCATTACTTAATTTGACGTTAATTTTATGTATTAAAAAAACCAACTGACGTTAGGTATACAAATATAAACCTCATATGTATGCGGTGCAATTGCTTTTTAAAAGAGGAGGCTCTGGCGACCGACCGAAAAATACTTGCCAGATTTTCAAAAAAACAATAGCCTTGAAAGCCTCTTAATCTGATGTGAATGTGGTCCAATAATATTTAATACATTCAATTAAGTGAAGTATTAAAATGTATAAATTGTATTCCAACACTTCATTATAAGCTTAATACGCTGATCCTTAGATGTAAAGGTGTTCATAACAAATAATATCTGTAGAAAACAATTTAAGGTTCACACCTTAAATTGGCTGTCCCTAATGACTTTACGTGAGTAATAATGAAAATCTTCACCTTATCATAGAAGCCACAAAGGGCTATTAAAATCGAGCCAAAAATCCGTCTCGAAGGACCAAAGATGGCCGCTCGAACGAACAGCGGCAAAATGATAATGAACGCCGACGCCGGCTGACACTCATCAAAATTCAATTCGTCAACTGTGTCGTGCAGAGTTGACAAAAAAATTAATTTTGTCTTTTATAATTAGCAAATATCTGTAAATCTGCTAGAGATAATATGCCTTTGGTAATTGACTGATTTAATTAGTAGAGCATTCTCTTGGATACTAAGTGTGCAATTATAAGGTGTTATTTATTTCAATGCTAACACGTTCTTAGCAAAAGGAGAATATTTAAAAGATACGTTAAGCATGTACCAATAAATACTTCAATAAAATATTCATGTCCACATGTAGCTAATTAGATTTTTTTTGTATTAGTATTACAGAAATATGTAAGAGTTATAGTATACATTATACTCGATTGAAATAGTCTAGTAGTTTATCTTCCAAATTATGTATATGGGTCAAATTAAGAGTACTGTATACGAAAGTATACGGATGTAAGAGAAGCGAGAGAAAGGTGTTAGGATTATGCCAAAAAAAATACAAACAAAAAAATGCTAGAAGAGGTTACGTAGTGTCTGCCTAACCTCCTGCGTAACGGGCGTGGAAGTTTTGTTATCTATCATGTCTAATAGTTTCTTGTTACGGGGTTAGCAACCGTCTTTATATGCATATTAAAACTGCACTTACATCTTATGGCATTATAGCGTAACATGTTCAAACTGCTTCTATAGTCCTATTTATATACACAAATATTCAGATATCACAAAAAATATATTGAAAACGAACAATTTATTTTAATTGTGCTAATTAATATTCACGTTCAACCAGACACGGAATTCCAACATAAAATAGCAGCTTAACGCTGGTGTGTTTAGTACGCTAAGTGTAGAGAACCGGAGACCCTTTTTACTGAAAATGAGGCATTCCATCTTAGTGTTTAGGGGTGACAGCGCATCTGCATTTTCATTTTTAATCGAGGGGATATGTAGATGTCTATGGGCGTCAGCATCCACTTACCATCAGGTGGATTTTTTTTTATGGCATAGAGTGACAAACGAGCACACAGTCCACCTGATTGTAAATGCAGATGCGTTGTCACCCGTGAGTACTAAGATGGAACGCCTCGTTTCCAGTAAAAAGGGTCTCCGGTTCTCTACACTAACCAAACGAAACAAAGCAGCTTTAAGTTGCTATTTTACGCTGGTACTCTGTGAGAAGGGGAACGCGTCCTTCCCCGGTCGAGCCGACCCATTCGTGCTACAATTATACTACTAATATAGCTGCAGCATGGCTCTACCACGTATAATAATATTTCCAAGAAACTTGTTAAATTAACTCATTGTTTTGTTTTGACATGATTGCTAACGTATCGTGCACAGTTGAAAACCATCGCTAGTCTTATTATAGTTAAGTGGTATTTAAAAGCGTTTATTCTTTTATAAATAACTGCTGAATAAATTTCTTGTATTAACTGGAATTAAAGCTACACTTTACCATGTAGTGGCGGTGTAAGAATATCCGCTATCCTATATCATCCCGTGGATGTCGTAAGAGGCGACAGAGGGAAACAAATCAGGAGATGGGCAGCAGCGTCTTTCTAATAACGACTAATAGTAAATACTGCAATAAGGCAATTTATAGGGAAGGCCTATGTTCACCAGTGGGTTTTAATAGTTACCGTTACATAATGGTAACAGTAAAGCTACAAGTACACTTGTTTCGAAATTCTTCTGGGCTTCCATCTTTTTCTGTATTATTAATTCTATGCTAGATTCTAGTCTGCATATACTGCTTATGATGATTAACGGCACTACGTCGATATTCTTGCATTGACCTTCTTCAATTACCGCAGTCAGTCGGTCGTCAACTCGTTTGATAATCGGCTTTTTAAACTTTTTTTTTTCTTATCTCATTTACAATTTTTCGGTCAATAACCCAACATCACCATAAGGGTCGATTATGGAAAATCGAAAGAATATTTCATGGTCTCCGATGGCGGTATAACCATTTTATATACGCCTGATGTCAAATATTTACAAAATTAACTTTTTATGAAATGTAAAAGCCGACTTCAATATAAATATAATGAGAACATCATCAATGTAGTCAAAATCAATTAAATACGCATTATGAAGGATAACTAAAAAACTACTAGTCACACGAGAAACACCAGCTTTCAAAAGAATCGTCGAAATTCGATTCACATGGAATAAAGTTCTGAGGTAACACACATAAAAAATACAATCGGTTTGAGGACATCGTCCTTTTTTTTGAAGTCTGTTAAAAAGGAAAATTTTCAATTTTTTTCAAAAAAAATCTACAATTGTTGACCCTTTTTAGTGAAATAAGTAATAAAACGATTTCAATTTCATCTAAATAGTTACATTAAGAAATCAATTCCCTATTTTTGTAGTCTTGCGAGTAAATTTTTTCTCCAAATTTATATAGAACCACTTATTTATTTATTTATTTCTCACCACAAACGACATGGACATTGGTTACATTAGTGTTACATCTCTATTTAACAATATTATGTCATTCGTGGGAGACTGGTGCCCGTGTAGGTTCAAAGACCCGTATTACAGGTCACCAGCCCCCCCCCCCCGAATTTACTAGGCACTTAGTATAATATACAGAGATAACTTATGTTATGATTAGAAATAAAACCACTCTTAAAGTATTACCTGTTTAATTAAAAAGAACCTTTAAAATCGGTTCACAGTTGACGAAGATATGGCGTAACATATATACAAAAAAAAACATACAGTTGAATTATCTGAATGAAAATCTCCTCGCACAAGACTTCTTAAGAGACTTTCTTAAGTCGCCATCGAAAATAAAACATAATAAATTAAAATTTTGCACATTTACTTCTCAATATTAATTTGCTTACTGTACAGCTTGCGTGTTGCCCTACACAAACTGCAATTATTTCTCTATCGTGAGTTTTTTACCGGCCGTAATGCGTTTAGCGGTAGAATAACGCATCGTGTAATTAAAACTCAAACATTATCATATTATCGTTTAATTTTATTCTTTACTTGGTAAATGTTTACAGTTATCGCGAACGCAGCACGACATCCCCTTTTAAGGTGTACCGCGTTCATTTTTATACAAAGCTTAAACGTATATTAAACGGTTTTGCTTTAAACA